TGCTCTTCAGTCATATTTTTAACTATCATTTTTGTTTTATCCTTATTTATTTTCAGGCCTGCTACTTCCCCATACTCCTCCAGCACTTCCATCAGCCTAAGACCAGATTTTACAGGCTCTTCAATAATAAATACAATGTTGTCCACAAATGTCTGTACCTTAAACTATTGGCCTATAATTTTTAATATAAGTCAAATTGGAATTTTCCTTGGGAATCAATGTGATTGTTGCTTCTTTCCATGATTCAGGTATCTTAGCTTCATTAAGTACATCATTATACACCTCTAATAACAGTGGGTTTAATAATTCCTGGTGATTTTTATAAATTTCTGAAGATAGATCATCTGGGCCTGATGCTTTGTTACTTTTTTGTTTTTTTATTTCCTCAGATATCTCCCATGCTGTTATCTCATTATTTAATAATTTTTTATCTTCCTCCGAGATTCTGGGTAATTCTGTTTTTTGTCTTTTCTATCTTCTCTTTATCCTTATATAGGTTTTTTAAAAACTCATACGCTACCTTCCTCTTCTCCTCATTTTGATAAAATTAACTCTCCTTCTTCATTATGTAATTTACTAATCTGGTTCTTTTCTTTCTGTTTTCTTAATCTATAAACCAACCATCTTCCCAGCTTATTTGCATTCTCAAAAATTTTTTCTTTAATGCTTTTAATTTGTTGTGCCATATTTTCCTTTTCAATGATATTTAATTTGTGTTTAATTGTGTTTATTTGTTATTTCAATTCCCATTTTATGGGTTCTTTCTGCAGCTCTTTTTCCAGTTTGCTAAGACCTTCCTCTAAATTTTTTGCCATTGTCTTTTTTGTTTGTTGTCTTTAGCCATGTATGATATTGTGATACCCCTCATAAAAGCTTTTGCCGTGTCCCACAGGTTCTCATTGTTTGTATCCTCTTTTTTTATTACTTTGAAAAAATAAACTCATTTGATCATCCATCTTTAATTTAAATTCATTTTGATTCAAGATTGCTTTTTTTAGGGTCTACCTCCTTGTCTTTTTTTGCCCTTTCCATTTAATTTTAATGGGATTGTGATCTACCCACAAATTTATGTCAATATTAACTTCCTCAATTCCCAAATTCAAATCTGTCGACGCCCAAACCATATCAATTCGAGACCAAGATTGATGTCTACCTGAATAATAAGTATATTGTTTCTTATCCCCATTTCTTTCCCTCCAACAATCCTTTATACTTAGTTCTTCCACCATCTTGAAAGATGAATTAGGTAATATCCTTCTAACACTTTTCTTTCGTTTGAAATTTCTATAGTCTCTCTATCTACAATCGCATTGAAATCACCAATTATACAGAAATTATCACATTCTAGGTCTCTAATCATGTTATACAGATTCTTATAAAATAGTTTTTGGCCCTCATTTGGCATGTATATTCCAACTAACATCAGTTTTTCTCCATCCACAGTTAATTCTATTATCAATATTCTGCCCTCTTCATTTTTATACATTTGTTTGGCCAAAATACCCTCTTTTACATACATTACACTTTCCCCTTTCTTCTGTTGAGATGAAGATATAAACATCTTTCCTAACATAGAGCATTTTAATAGATACTGATGCTGCTTTTTTATGTGTATCTCTTGCAACACTATTATATTCACATTTGTCTTATACGGTTTACTAAAGAAGTTTTTCCTTTTCCCTGGAAAATTTAACCCATTAACATTTAATGATAAAATTGCTAATTCTTTTTGAAAACCTCTACTTATACTTAGGTCTTTTTGCCCTCGTATGTCTGACTTCTTTATATTCCTTGCGTCCACCATCATTGTCTTCCCCCTTGTCCACATTCTCTCCTTTCCCATTCTCTTTTTCCTTGATTTGGGATTTCCCCGTATTTGGTGACTGTCTTCCTAGTTCTCCTTCTTCCCTTCTTTCTCTTTCCTCCAGTTCAACCTCACTACCAAAATTTTGTCTATAAAACTCTTCTACTTTGTCAACCATGTCCAATCTCAACCTTCTTTCTCCCCAAGATACCATAATCCCTTCAGGAGTCAGCCACCAAAAATTTATGTTTTTCCTTGTTAGTTTTACTGTAAGCAATTGGTAGGGTCGTCTTAAATCTCTTACCCTTCTCGGGAATTGTTTAAGCACCACAAGCTGTCTTCCTCGTAACTCTAGTGGATCTTCTCTGGTCCTATGAAGAATCTCATTACGGATTGATTTTTTAACAAATCTAATATGCAGTTCTCTAGGTAAATTATATCTAAGTGCATAATTCGTGTGGATTCTGTTAATTTCGTCCATTTCATTAATCATTTCTTCCTTCCCAATTCCTAATGTTTCTGCCAATAGCTCCGCCATCATTTCCAGAAGGTCCTCATTCTTTTCTTCCCTCATGTTCTGAAATCGTAGAAAATGGACGGCCTTATCTGTTTCCAATTGAATTATTGTCTGTTTGAGATCTCTATTGGTTTGATTTAATTTTTCTTCCAACTCCTCCACTTTTTTTCACTCCCTTCCCATTCTGTCTTCCATCTCCTATAATTTTTATTCATTTTTTAGAATTTGTTGCTGGAAGCATTCAAATTTTTTATCCATCGATCTCATCTTTTCTTTCATTTCTCCCATGTCACTCCTTACTTCTCCTATCTCTCGTTTCAAATCCTCATGGTTCTTTAACATAATCTCCTGCATTGTTTGTAGCATCTGTTGTAGATCCTTGAATGAGTTTGATCTCTCTCTCTGTAGCATTCCTTCAATAGATCTTTGTCCTGCTGGACTTAGTTCCATTGTTGTAGTTTGAGCTCCTTGCCTCCTTCCTGCACCAATTCTTGTCAAATTGGGGATATTTGTCATCTTTAATACCGCTTTAAATTGACTTCCCCACTTCCTTATATTTCTCTTAGTTTCCTCCAGGACCCTTCAACTATCAATCTCTCAACTAGTTAATTCTCAGTGCTTAACTTTACAGCTTTCACTCTCTATTTTATGTTTTTAAATGTCTCTTATTCATTCTTTAACTTCCTTTCTTGATCTTTCCTACCCCAACTACAGTCTGCAAACCTTCCCCTTAGTCAACAATTAATTAATAACAAAATATATAATTAAATCACTTAATAATATCAATAATTAATGCAGTAAGTGGTGGAACTAATAAAATAGTAGTCCAAAGATTGCATAGAAAAAACAATAATAATTAGGGAGATGATTTCCTCTTAAAAGTGTTCCACTATGACTATTTCATTAAATTTTTTCACCTCCAAATTTACTCCTTAAGTTTCCTCGATTTATAAGTCAGTTATTGGCAGACCATCCAAAATAGGTCTTGTTTTTCTTTAGATTGCCTCTTCTTACTTAAATTGTCTCCAGTTTTTTCCTCAGCCAGTAGGTGTTGCTAGCTCCCTATTATCCTAGTTGACAGTCAGTCTGTCTTCAAAATGCCTGCGTTCTCTGATTAATCAGTACTTTCGCTCACAAACTAAATTGTCTTTTTAAATCAACAATAATGGCAAGTTCCCCCCCTTTCCTCTTTCCCCTCACGCTGCCAGTGATATTTATTGCGTTGAAATGGTCTCCTTTTTTTGCCTCCACTTGCCATTCGCCACTTTACTATGGAGGAAATTTCCTCCTTCCTTGGGCCTCCTTCTGATTCTTCCATCTTTCCAATCCCCTGAGAAGATCTTCACTTCGGGCCACTCACAGAGGACTGCCAAGATCACTTTCGCCCAGGTCCGTCTCTCTCTTGTCCAGCTATTCCACTGCTAATGTTGTCCAGCTGCCTGTTGTTGTTTCTTCACCATTATAGGCTACCTCTCTTTCCCTGTTCGACTTCTCCAAGGCTTTCCTGCCATCCGCACTCTCAACTATCGCCGAGAGCTGTTCCGCAGGGTCCCCCTTTCTTCCGATTCCCCTCCAAGGAATCTGGGACTCCGAAGAATCTGCCGATCAGATGGAAAAAGCTTTGTATTCAACTCTCTTAAACAGAGAGCCGTTCTGCATAGCTTTCCCTCTTGACAGCTGGCCATGCCCCCCGAGAACACCTACTTTGATGACAGTTTGCTAATAATAGCTTAGAGAATTAGTGGGATTTCAGAAACCAATAGACTAGCTAGATTACTTTCTGTATGCATTTTGGACTTGATCCAATTTAAGTATTCTGCTTCTCAGTCATAAATTATAAATGTAAATAATCATAATCATAATAATACCTGCTTTGCATTAAGTAGTTGTGGGTTTGCTTTTTCAGCCCACTATAGTGAGAGCGACTTTTGAATAAAGTAAGCTAATTATGGGATTATTTGGTGGAACAAATAGTCTAATTATTATCTAGAAATGCTAGATTGATTAGTAATGGTAGTATTAGGTTATTAGACAAAGAAGGAAAATATAATTCTGACTAAAGCTATGGCCTGTAACATAATATATGGAAGTGAATTATTTTAAGAACTGGTACCACAACACAGACTTTTTTCCTTGCATTTGTTTATATTTGAAAAGTATTAACATACAAAAGTAAAACATAGTATTCTTCTAGTTATTATATAATGAAGAAATCTATATGGAATAGACTTTGTTCCGCCACTTTCCTGGGCTACTCCAGATTGTTGTTGTTGTTGTTGTACTGCCACTTCCAATCAAGACATTTGCACCCTTTACTTAGCCCTCTCAAATCTAGCAAGATCAGTGCATATTGATTATAAACATCACTCAGTATATTTTAATGCTTCTAATTCAGTACCCAATTGAGCTCAATAGCCCATTATTTCAAATTTTAATATTTTTAAAATTACAGCTATGAATTGAATACATTTTTATTAATACATTCATGTCCCAAAATGATTATAAATTAGAATTTCAATGAAATGTGAAGCAGCTGTGAGAAAAGGGTTGTGCAGGTAAGGATAACAATTACAATATTCAATATACAGTATTTGTTGCATCGATAAAACACTGCTTTGATCATTTATACTATTTACAGCTGAAGTGCAAATAATTTTTGCATTTATTTTTACTCTGAAGAGCGTTACAGAATTCAAAGTGATCAATTAGAAGACATTTGGCTAATTACAAAAGAACTCACTCTTCGTCTTGAGCAACACTTCAAGAGGCAAAATTCCAAAGATTTTGTATGTACTTTTTCTGGTCCAATCCCTTTACAAGACTATTTTGACATAATTGATCACCATTTTGAGGTATGCTCATAAATATATGTGACTTATGACTGTATCAATGTTTATGTTTTCTTCAGTTGTTATAATTACTTCTAATTTTTATTAGAATGATATCAGACTTATTACAAATAATGCTGTGGTTTTCTAAGAATTTGCTGCTTGTTTTTGTTTTCCTGTTGAAATGATCTTTGGGAACAAGCATGTGTACCAAAATACTCGATAAAGTACCTTTTGGATTGCTAAATGCAAATTAATTATAGAAAACTTTTTAATATTAAATACGTCTTTGGGAGTAAGTCCCAAATACGCTTGCTTACTTCTGAAAAAATAAGTATGAACTTTTATATAGTGAGTTTTAATGTTTAGCTTTCCTCTTTGTAAAGATATTGTACAATATTTTAAAATTTTTAAAACGTAATGGTTATTCAAGGAAGACTAGGAAGACTACTAGGATGGTATCTCGTAATCTGCTATTGCTATGAAAACCATATCATTATTTTGTATTACCTTGGATTCAACAATTATTTTTAGTTTCAGTAATAACTGGAATTCATTTAGTCCATTAATAGACTTAATGATGAGTGTATAATTTTAAACTTTCATAATCACCATGTAAAAGCAATAATTGGGTTTTTGCAGTAAATGTAGCACCATATATTTTGTGTTCTAGAATACCATTAACTCTTTCTTTGAAAAACTTCCTTAATTATAGCTGCGTTTGAACGCTGTGAAATGTGAGCAACTATTAGCTGAAAGAGCCATACAATTTAGAGCTATTGAACGGCGTTTACTGACAAGGTTTAAAGATAAAACTCCAGCTCCACTTCAACATCTGGACACCTTGTTAGAAGGAACGTACAGACAGGTCAGTATAGTTGGCATATAAACTTATTCATTTTTAATGTTTTACATCGAAACCCCCCCCTTCCTTGTTACATTTATCATGAAATAGTAATTTGTTTAAGTTACTATTCCCTGCAACTTTCCATATGATCTGTAATGGTTTTGTTTGATCTTGTATATAGAATTGCTACTCAGAAATCTCATGAACTTTCACAGTGCATCATTCTTTCCAAGCTGGAATACTGATGTGAAAATATTTTATTGTTCAAAACTTGTGTAAACATTTACATATACTGTAAACTGATGGAATAGTTTAACTGCTGTAAATAATCTGAGACTAGCAGTCTCCTTTTACAAATGTGTTTACATCCTGGGTGTTTCAAAGGCTACAGCTAAAGTAATTGAAAGCAAACTGGTATTCTCTTGCAATAGATATAGTTTGATTTTGTATCTCAACCATGCATTACTTTAAAAAAGAATCCCATCAGCAGACTGTTAGAGCCATCTGATCTTTCACAGAACATGCTTGGATCTGTCTAAGAAATCCACAGTAATGTCATAAAGGTAGCAACCATGATTCAACAGCATAACCCTCTTATAAAGGAGGCTCTATAAGTCATTGATATAAGAGTGATTGATGAGTTTGTCTTCCATGCATATATCTAGTCCATTCTTCAATGTGCTTATCTCATTTGGGGCCTGAATATGCCATTAATTATGTATTGCATATTTTTTTTAAAAAATCTTTGTTTTATATCTCATACTAAAATGATGGGATCCTATCTAAACTCTTCTTCAATTTATCTGTTTTCTCCTACATGTGAATATGCCCTGCCCTTGCGCATGGGTGTGTGCCCCCGCATGTGCCCTGCCCCCGCGCATGTGTGCACGGCCCCCTTACACATGCCTTGCCCCCCGCACATGCTCAGCAGAGACCCGATGACCAGCTGGCTGGTGGGAGACATGCGCGCATTCACGATGGAGCTGAACTTGGGTAATGGCTCGCGTGCCCACATAGAGGGCACTGCGTGCTACCTGTGGCACAATTGCCATAGGTTTGCCATCACGATTCTAGTGTATCATTATTAAAACAGTTACTGCTGGGTTTCCAGCGGTGACATCATGCTGTAGTTAGGTGAACGAGCGGGGCTCCGCTTTTTTGTACCCGATTTTCGGTGTTTTTGAGGCTTTTTCGACAGGTCGGATCTTGGAGAGATTGGCGAGGTGGAGGGGTTTCCTTCGAGTTTGAACAGGGAGCAGTGCAAGCTCCCATTTGATGAGAGGAGCCCTCTGGATATACATGGAAGAAATCTGCTTAAGAATGACGGATCCAGAGGCGTGACAGTCTGATGATTTGTGCAGGGAGAGAACAGTGGAAAGCAGCTTGAAGAACCGGAGAGAGGAGAATAAAAGTGACAGAAAGAAAAAACTCTCAGGGATTATAAAATGACTCGAGATAGAAGCGGTAAAGTGAGTCTCCATGAGGGAACTTGAGTGGCAAGGTGGCAGTGGGAGCAGAGATCAATAGCTGTCAAAAAGAAAAAGAAGTTAGCGTGTGAACGGAGCAAACAAGTGGATTGGGGCTTGATCACTATATTGCTGGCATTAGAAAGAAAGAAACTTTTAACTTTTGAGACTGTTTCCTGGGGGGGAAAAAGAGAAAGTGTTGTTATGTTGGATGTGTTGTAGGTGACAGATTAGAACTTGAGTAACAGACAGCGGAGGTGACTGCAGATTTGAATAGAGAAGACATCTTGGAGGAAGGGGAGGAAAAAATATCCTGACGCAGGACTTAGAGGGGAAAGAAAAAAAGGGAGTAAAAGAGAAGATATTATAAACTCAGACATGGACATATAATACTTGTTTACAAGAAACGTCTAAGAAAAATTGATGTCAGTGGAAAAAATCAATTGCAGAAAACTTATATATTAATATATTTATAACTATATCCCACTGAAGTATTTATAATTATATATTTATACATATTTACTGAAATACTTATAACTTATTGTATCCTACATTAACTGTTGTTTACTTTTATATTTTGATACTTTGATACTGATATATATATTTAGTTTTGTATACTAACATATTTTTATTTAATTGTAAGTTTTCTTTTCATAATACTTACATAATATGGTGGTATACATACAGAAATATATTTAAGGTTGATAATTGTAATTGAATCATAGGAAAGGAGTATATTTAAGAATTATTTATTATTATATATTTATATATTTACTTATTAATAACTAGCAACTTAATAATATTTATCAATTGTTAGAAATTGGTATTGAAACAATTAAAGATTATATCAAGAGATTAGTGGAAGATATAACAATTGTATGGAAAGAATTTAGAGTAATTAAGGAAGGATAGAGATTGAAAGAGAGGAATAGAAAAACACGGTTGATTATATGGTACTGTGGAAAAACTTTTTAAAAAATATCAAACTTTTAAAAACTTTTTTAAAAATATATTACCTGCAGGCCCAATCAAAATACAAAAGCGATCGAGATGGAACTGGTATAAATGTCGACCTGCAGGAGCTAGATAAAATTTTGATAGGTCAGGAAAAGGGTATGATCTCTAAATGTTACAAATCGTTGATGAGGATAGAGATTGGTGAAGAAGTAGTAAAGGACATAATGATCGCCTGGGGGAAAAATTTTGGTTACCCAATTTACCTTGAAAAATGGCAAGCGATTTGGTGAGGAAACATGAAACTGGTAGTATCTACTACATATAAGGAAAATATTTATAAGATGCTATATAGATGGCATCTCCCGCCAGACAGATTGGCAAAAATGTTTGCTGGACAGTCCGCCAAATGTTGGAAATGTGGATTTGAACGTGGTACTTATTATCATCAATGGTGGACCTGTCCAGAAGCAATTAAATTTTGGGGGAAAATTAAAAAGTGGCTAAAGGAAATTCTAAATCAGGAGTTTGAATTGCGACCAGAGACATGTTTGCTCGGCTCTGAGGTTGGATAGATTTGATTAGTTTATAAATACAAAATAGGTCGTCCTGTCTCCCCTGGACTATATTATGAATTTATTATTGTATAGATTTACGTTAAATATTGGTTTACCAATGTATTGTTTATATTCTCTTATGTTTTCTTTTTTTCTTTTCTTTTTTTTCTTTTTGTTTTGTCTTGTTCTGTCTTGTTCTTTTTTCTGTTTTTTTGTCTTCCTTTTAACTATAAATGCAAATAAAGATTATTAAAAAAAAGAATGATATGAGAGAAGTAAAGAGGGAGATAAGGAAGCTAGATGAAAAAATCAGTACAATGCAGGAGATGATAACAAAAAACGAACAAAAGATAAAGTCGGTAGAGGTTAAAACGGAATACATAGAAAAAAAATTAGACACAGCAACACATAAAATGGTGGTAGAACATAAGGAACTAGAAGAAGCTATATTAAATCTGGAAATGAAAAAATGTTTTACCTCTGCTTTCTGAACATCTTGGAAAGTAAAACGAAGATCTCCCTAAACTAATGGCTGAACTATTAGCGGATCCACTGCAAAAAAGCAAACAAGAGTTGGAAAACGAAATTGACAAAGCATACAGGATTCACACAAGTTATGCATGGAGGAATAAATTACCGAGAGAAGTCCACATTAAATTTGTGAGGAAAAAAACAAGAGATGAAATATATAATAAAACAAGAGAAGATCCCCTGACTTATAATGGAAAAGAGATCATAGAGCTGAAACAGATTCTGAAAAGAATAAGGGAGCAAAGACGAAGCTATCGCTTCCTCTCCACACAGCTTTTAAAATATAGAGTGATGTTCCGATGGCTCATCCCGGAGGGGATGTTAATAACATGGCAGGAGAAGAAATTCCGGATTGATACCTTGGAAAAGGCTCAGGAATTTTATGATCACTACAAAAGCGGGGAAGATGAACAGGATAGTAGGGAGGAAGGAGAAAGTAAAAGTCAGGAAGATCAGGTATCAGAGGAAAAAATTATGGAACAAGACACAAGAGATCAGAAGGAAGCAGAGCGTCAGGTGAGAGAAGGAGTCAGAACTAGAGCACAGACCAAGAGCAGAGCAAGGAGAGGACTAAAGCCAATAGATAAATAACAAGATGGAGAATGAAATAAAGATGCTATATCAGTAAACATAAATGGCATCAACTCATCGATTAAACGTAAACAGATATTATCAAGATTACAAAAAGAAAAGATGGATATCATTTGCCTCCAGGAGGTACATATTAGAGAAAAGCACAGTGATCTCATAAAATGCCCTAAATTAGGGGAACTACTTTCGGTGCTGGCACAAAATAAAAAAAGAGGGATTGCTGTATATATATGTGTGTGTGTGTGTGTGTGTGTGTGTGTGTGTATATATATGTATGTGTATATATATATATATATATATATATATAGGTCTTTGGTTATTCGGGTTTTCTCCCGCGTAAAATTGGAGGTTTCTTGGCAATGTTTCGACGAAGTCTCATTCGTTATCTTCAGGCTGGTGTTCTCGGCTTCGTGCTTCTAGGAGCAATGTGTGTGATCGCAGCTGTTTCTTCCTTTTAACTGCCAGTGGGGGTGTGAACTGATTGGGTGGGAGCTTGGCTGTGTTCTGATTGGGCAGAGGTGTGTGGGAATCCGATGAATCTCCGGGGGCAGCTTGTTCCAGAGGGCAGGTGCCCCCACAGAGAAGGCTCTCCCCCTGGGGGTCGCCAGTCGACACTGTCTAACCGACGGCACCCTGAGGAGTCCCTCTCTGTGGGAGCATACTGGTCGTTGGGAGGCTATCGGAGGCAGAAGGCGGACTCATAAATAACGAGTGTGTATGTGTAAAGTGTGAAAGTTGTTTTTTGGGGCTTTTTGTGACTGTGTGAGGTTCCTGCTTGTTGCAGGGGCCATTTTGGGTCTAGCACAGCTGCTTTTATATTGTGGGTGAGCCAGTTGTCTTGTGTTTTGTAGGTTAAAAAAGGGCAAAGAAGTGACATTGACTTGACCACACCCACCTTACCAACAAGCCACGCCCTCCCAGT